GACTTTTCTATTATATTCATTTTAAATAACATATGAGTATTGAAATAATAACTAACAGTTTAATGAGGGTTATTAAAAATAAAATAATTTAATAAGAATATAATAAACAATTCAAGGATCAACTACAATGCAAAAAAGGAAAATGGACTATATTTTAAGACAAATCAAAAGGAAAAATGGACCATTTTTTGCAGATGGAGGGAGTACAAAGATAACGAGAGAGAATGAAATGTTTTGAAAATGATTTCTTTAGTGATAAGAAATCACAATCTATTTTTCTATATATATAACATAGAATAAAAATTCAAATATTTTTGCTGGATGTGAATCTATTGAGTAGAATCTTCATCTTTTTCATATATGAAAGCATTACTGGGTACCAAACTAAAACCCAATGTGTATGGGATTGATCTTCTCTCAATAAATCAATGCATGCTCTCTTCCTTATTATATTATAACTCTTCTTTAACCTTTATATTTAATTAAATTAAACTTAAATCAATAATTATGCATGATTTGATCATCGTTACTAATTGAATTTTTTATTTTTTCCTTCTAAGAAAAATGAAGTTAACTTCTAAGAAAAATGAAGTTAACAATACGAGATAATGTGAACAGATAAATACCCTCCATTCTAGAATAAAAATAAAAAATATCCTAATATTCTAACATTTAAAGACAAATAATTCAATTCTTTCTTATAAGTAAATTTATATGCAGCAGGAAATAACTTAGTTAATTGATATTTGATGTTCTTAGCAATCAAATATTATTCTGAATAAGATTAGTAAGAACACTTTCCAATGACTCTCATAATTGTTTCTTAACTCAATATTAATTTTTTCTCGTCTCGCACATTGATTTGCTATCTTCGTATTGATTGCGACAGCCATGTTTCAAATCAAACCCTATTGTTGTTGCTTCTCGATCTAGCCCTTTATTTATTTATTTTTTTTTATGCTATTATCATCGAATTCCGATTCAATTGTTTCCGATTTCTATGATAGTAGCTAGGGATGAGCATTGGGTTCGATTAATTCGACAAATTCTATTCGGTGAATAAATGTTCGGTTAAATAAAATTAAATTTTCGGTGATCGATTAAAAATTCGGTTAAAAGTTAATTTAACCGAATTAATCAAATTAACCGACTCTCAAAAATATGTCATTGTGATTAAGTAGATAATAAAAATTAAAATTAAAAATATTTCAATTTTTATTTTGATTAAGTATTGATTAAGTAATGATTAATAACTTTAGTTAATTTAATTTCGGTTAAAATCAGTTAATTATAAATTTCGGTTAAATTCGGTCAGTTAATGATCAAGATTAATTTGGTTAAGTTTGGTAAAACATTAGTTCGGTTAAGTCAAAAAAAATTTCGATTAAAAATGTAACTCAAATTGACCGACGCTCACCCTTAACAACGCCGTTAGCAATTCCGCAAGTATACGGATCGTGCAAGTAGTATAAAAAGATATCATCTTCGGGTAATAGAGGAGACTGAATATTAGTTTTGAATCCAAGATGTATTGTTTCGAAATTAGATGAAAAATCTTTTAAATCTAAACTAAGTGTAAAACAAGTAAGTAAACTACTAAATAAAATTAAATCAAGCTAGACTGATGTAATCAAACAAGGAAAGCACTAGTGCTAAGATCAACACTATTGAACAACAATATCATAATCAAGTATCCATTTTTAATCTTAAGAGGGATGCATCTTGAAGGGAAACTAATCTTTTTATATCTATGCTCTCTTCCAAGTAACATAAACGTTCTGAGATCATTAAAACTCCTACTTTCGTCGTGTGATGATGATCTTAACCCATTAATTTCTATGACTCTTCCTATTCCTCAAGGGATTAGCTTATTCTTGAGTCTATTTCCCAGGTTTGTGTGTGGGTCATTCTTGAGTCTATTTCCCAGGTTTGTGTGTGGGTCGGTCCAATAAGGGACTTCATCTTCCAATTCTTCATCCTCTCATTCATTGTCATAAAAATATGGAACTCTACATACCCATAAGCATTAAACACATGCACACACACAAATCAAGAAAAACATCCATTTAGATTAAATAAGGAAAGAGATTACATATATGTTGTCTAAATGGGTTTTCACCCAACACTAGCTAAGGAAACTACTCAAAAATCATTCTAAAGTTGCAAATCACAAGATTAAAAGGAGAAAGTAGCTCTGGTACCATCCTTGTCCATAATAGAAAATGGAGTCAAGCTCTAGTTCCTTTTGCTAACCATGGAATAAGTTCCTTGAGCAAAATCAAAGATAAAAGAGAAGGAAGAATAATCTTGACTTCCAAACGACTCTTTCTTCCAGGGTTTCAAATTTGTGCTTCTCCTAATCTGAGTTGTTCCCTAGCCTTCTTAATTTTGTTTGAATCTCATCTCTTTCCTTTTATAATGCAGGTGATGATGTGAGGGTCTTTCAGACATTCTTTGACCGAATCTCTCACTTTTAGTGCCACAGAAGAGATAATAATGTCGGTTCCCCGATTGTGCTTCATATGCAGGATTTATGGCTTAGCAAATACATGGCCCAACATGCGGGCGAACAATAGAAAGGGTTCTTTAGTTGGAACCCAACTGAAATAGACGCCTGATGCCCTTGCCGTAACTTGCATTTATATAGATTTTTGAGGTGCCGTGTATTTTGCACTGAGTCTTCTAACTTCCAGGAGGAGAATACACAGTTAGTTGACTGGCCATGTATTTTAGCAGGATGCTTCTGACTCTCAAGTGGATAAAGCACGACCAGTGGAACGGTCATCATTTTCGCCGCCAGATCTTCCTCTTGTAGAATGGTCCGCAATGATTGAAATACCTCTTGTTTTAGGGTTTCCTCCCTAAAAAAGGCGGGACCTGTACTATAAGACAAAGCAAATGCAAAATATGAAAAATGCATGCAAAAACTAACTTTACTTTATTAAAATCCCTAAAATTGGACTAAACTAGAATATTAAAGGTATAAATATATATGCATGAAATGCACACATCAAACGCAAATTGATGGATTTTAGAAAATCATCTATGACTCTATTGAAGGTGTGTAGACTACTTAAAGAGAAAAAGTTGCGATTAAGTTTAACTATTTAGGGTTTTTTTTCTTGGAGAGTGACCTCTTCTTTTGAGAATAAGATTGTATACATAGGGTTCTCTCTAGGTATTAGTATTTCTTTAGGAAACCATATATTTTCTTAATTAGGATTTTATATTAAGTATCAATATTAGTCTCTATAATTATTAGACACTTGCGTATAAATTACTATTAGGTTTGTGTTAAATATTTATATTATATAGTTAATGAAATTTTTAGTTTAATTTCTTCTTAAAAAAAAATCTCTTCATAGTTACTATAGAATTATATATAGATAAATATAGAAATAAAAAACTACAACAATAAAAAAAAATTAACTTTCAATATGATCAAAAAATTATATCATATTTTTAACTATAGTAAATATTGATATTTCGTCAATTTGTTTTTTGAAATAAAAATATGAACAATAACAATAACAACATTAATTGGATTATTCCAATTGATGAAAGCAAGAATATATATATAGAAAGCAAGAAATATATATACTATAATATTATATATTATATATATATATAGTATATAGTTCTCTTCCTTACCAACTAGGTCAACGGTTGAACAATACCTAGTATAAATTAAAGAAAAAAATATAAAAGCGTATCTCACGTTAATCATTATTGTATGTGATCATATATATCGCCTTTCGTAATGTCAAAAAAAATATGCATCACCTTTCATTATAATATTATATTTTGAATTTACAACTAAGAGAAATGGACATTTTGTCTTTTCTAAGTATCTAGAAGACAATTTTTTTTTTTAACGATTGTCCCTTAACCAGTGATTATATAAATTATTAAACAATGAAAAATTATATAACTATCAATTTTGCTATATAAGAATAGAAATAAAATTAAGAAGAAATTGCATATCAATATATTTGAAAATTTTATATTGAGTAATGATTTTTTACTATAAAAATTATCAATTCTTCAAAATCGCAATTTCAAAACCATAGAATATACAATTAAAATTTATTGTATTAAAATTTAAAAATAGTCATATTTATGTGAATTTTTCATATTTTTATTATTTATTTAATGTCAATTAATTTCAATTTTATCCATGCTCCTAAATTTTTCGGCTAGTTGTTGATGCAACAATTGTGGTTGTTGTGGCAGTTAGATTAAGGGTGTCTTCCGTATAATTAGCTGTTTTGATAGTTATTAGCCGTGTCTACATAGTATTAAGCTATTTTAGTAATTTTTAATAAAATATTAAAAAGCTAAATATTACAAATTAACCTTATATAAAAAATTACCTTAATTTCTAAAAACTATCTCAAATGCTATACTACCCAACACTACTATAAAAAATAACTTTAATGTTTTGATATTTAAAAAATTATTACCGAGCACAACCTTCATCTATTGCCTCACATCTCTTATTGTATCATATAATTTGCTCTTATGCACCTTGCATCATTTAAAAAAAACAATAAAAAATATATTGAAACATGGTTGGATGCAAGCCATGTATCTCATCCAACCATGTATCTCACCAATGAAAAATATAAATAAATAAATTTTATCAGGAGCATTTGATGTTATTTTAATATTTAATTTTAATTTTAATTTCTCTTATAAAATATGGAAGATAGACTTGAGAGTCAAAAGCAAACAGCTACAATGAAAGCAATCAAATAAGATTTAAGCAATCAAAATTATGTTAAATAAGGAGAAAGAGATCGTCAACAGAGTGGAACTCTAAATTAAATATATAGCAATCCACCTCTCTCTCCCCATCTTTTATATAAAAAGGAGTCCACCTCTTCTTCTCCATCTTTTATAGAAAAGGAAGACGATTGGTGATTACTTGCTTTTTTTTTTTTTTTTTTTAGTATTAAAAAAGAGGGATTGGAACCCGGATTCAGTTCCCTTCTTTTCCAATGCTGTTGGCAGCTCTCTTCTTTATCCTTATCTTATTGATATTATCTGAAAAATCAAAAACCAAGAATCTACCTCCTGGGCCAAGAAAATTACCTATTATTGGCGACCTGCACCTTTTCTCTACGTCATATCCAATCCACAATCGCCTAAGGGACTTGTCCAAGAAATATGGAGGCGTAATGTACCTTAAACTCGGTCAAGTTCCCACAATAGTGATTGGAACACCAGAAGCTGCAAAAGAAATGATGAAAACTAATGATGTTTGCTTTGCTGATAGGCCTAATCCTCAATCTTCTGCACTGGTAACTTATAACTTCTTAGACATTGCTTATGCGCCGTATGGAGACTACTGGAGACAGTTGAGAAAAATTTGCATAGTAGAATTGCTAAGTACGAAGCGTGTGCAATCATTCAGATCAATTAGAGAAGAGGAGGTCGCCAATCGGATTCGTGATATATCTTCTTCGTCAGGGAAGCCATTCAATTTGAGCAAGAGAATATTTGCTTTAACCTATGGCATTACTGCTAGGTTTCCTTTGGTGACATATGCAGAGAACAAAATGAATTTATTTCTGCCGCTGAGAAAATTGTGCAGAACACAGGATTTGACATAGCAGATCTTTTCCCTTCCTTGAAATTTCTTGGATGGTTCAGTGAGATGAGGACTAGACTCATGAATGCTCGTGATGAAGCTGATAGGGTAATCGAAAGCATCATTAATGACCACAGAGCAAACAAGAAAACTACTGGTGAAACAGACGATATCGTTAATGTTCTCTTAAAGCTTCAGGATAATGGAAATCTCCAATTTTCCCTGACAAACACAAGCATAAAAGCAGTTATCCTGGTAATTAGTGTACTCATGTCCTCCTGTCGTAATTTGTGTTATGAGTTTAAAGTTTAGTTATCTATAAATTAAAGCCATTTGTTATTCTTAATGATGTCAGGACATTTTCATTGCTGGAAGTGAGACGTCATCAACAACTGTAGAATGGGCAATGTCAGAAGTGCTAAAAAACCCAAGAATACTCAGAAAGGCACAAGAGGAGTTGAGGAAAGTATTTGATAAGAAAGGAAAAGTTGATGAAGAAGGGCTTCAAGAAATTAATTACTTAAAGTTAATTATTAAAGAAACTCTAAGAATGCATCCTCCTGGTCCTTTGCTAATTCCAAGAGAATGCAGAGAGAGCTGCGAATTGAATGGTTACAAAATACCAGCAAAAGCCAAAGTTATTGTTAATTCATGGGCACTGGCTAGAGATCCAAATTACTGGACAGAGCCAGACACATTTTATCCGGAGAGATTTCTTGATAGTACAGTTGATTTTAAGGGAAACAATTACGAATTCATTCCGTTTGGTGCTGGAAGAAGGATATGTCCTGGCATATCATTTGCCACACCTACCATTGAGCTTCCACTCGCAAATTTTCTGTACCATTTTGATTGGCAACTTCCAGGTGGAATGAAGCTAGAAAATCTGGATATGAGCGATGGTGATTTTGGCACTACGGTTAGAAGAAGAAGTGATCTGCTTTTGATCCCTGTTTCATATAATCCTCCATCGCTGGAGGGTTGAACTGTTTTCTTAATCGATTTCCACTTTCTATTAGCTTATCCAACAGTTAATCTTTTAAATTTTACAGTTATACTGTAGAATTTAAGAAAGATTGATTGATAAATAAGTTTTCATATATAAGATATGGATTCAGTTCAAATGAAATGAGTACATATTGTATATTTGAAAAAAATTATTATTAATAATACTTTTAATAAGAATAACGTTTAAGTTGCTTCATGAAATTGATCATGATGATAATTTATTCGAAAATGATTTTATAATCGATTTTAATGGAAATTTTCAATCAAAAGACTAATTTTACTATTTTTTATTTGGAATAAATGCATCTACCAAGGTAGTGAGTAAAAATGAGTAATGTATTTGAACAAAAAAAAAAAAAAAAAGACGTTTTGCATTATTATATTATACACTGTTAAAGTTTAAGATTTTTTGGGTTTTTGAAAGAAGTGGTTGAGGGAGTAGGTAATAAGTTTGACTTCCTAAAATTGTGTAGTCATGTTTTGTACTCTCCCATATGTTTTGTAGTCATGTTTTGGACATGTCGTCTGAGATAAAAGATGAATAATAACTTTGTTAAATGTTTATTTATAGACATTGACATTTAAAAATTTATTTCTACTGTACTACTTTCGTATTCTCTTATATTTTCTTTTTTATTTTATTTTTTTCATCTTGGGTCTATAATTTAATACATAGTCAATCATTATAAAGTAATAAATCTTCACATTATTTAAGAGATCCTTTAAAAATAAAAGGTATAATAGATAAAAATATTTATTTTTTTGACACTTTGATTTAACATATCAAATAAATATTAGCATCGGAGATCATTTTATTGAAAAATTTTTCTATTTTTCTGATATCACAGTTAAATAAAAACAAGTCACCTTAGCATTCCACACAAGTTCCAAAACCATTAAAATCATTAAACAGAATAATAGTTATAGGAGATACATTGACATTGGTGGTCAATGGGCTCCCCATGTGGCATGTGCTAATATTAAATTAGCAACAATATCTATTGGAAGATTACATATCTTCCTATAATCCTAATTAAGTCAATAATTAAATCAAGAAAAACAAAGAAAAAGAGAATAAAATTTCATAAAACCCTAACCCTATATCTTATGCAACAAAAGGACCCTCTTGTTAATTAGGATTTGCAATCCAAAAAAGCCTTCAATTAAACAATTTGTTCTCAAGGACATTTAGGGATAAAGTAAGATGACTTCAGCTAGAAACAATTAAACAATAAAAACCTTCTACTAGTTTGTCAAAAAACATTATTTATGAAGTTTAGAGGAATGAAAAATTTTATTATTCAAATTCAATTTGTAAAATAAGAGAAAGAAGGATTATTCTTATACAAAAAAGAGAGAAGATAAAGAGGTGCTGACAGGGACTAGAAAAACTAAATGGAATAAAAGTCAATATAACTCCTGAACTTATTTAACAAAATAAAAAATGTCAGATTTGACATTTTCGGTCAATTTAAACTTTGAACTTGTTTGAAATGATTAAAAGTTCAAATTTAATATTTTGGATCAACTTAACAACCTAAACTTGTTTAAAATGATTGAATTTAATATTTTGGGCTAATTTAGCCTTTGATTGTTTATTGTATTTACAGAAATTTAAGATTATAGTTGGAATGAGACTGTATAATTTATTAAAATTTAATTAAATGTGAAATAAAAAAAACCATATACGAAGTATATTATATCCTCTTCACCTTAACTGATTATTTTGAGTTCATAAATATATTTTAAATTTTAACATTTTAAAGTTGACTTTTACTACTGGATTATTGCATATGAAATTCATGTATTTTCATACAGATATTGACAGAGCTAGGGGGTCTAGGGATGGCCCCCACCCCCTAACAAATTTTTTTTAAAAACATCACCCATAAAATATTAAAATTTTTATTTCACCCATTAAAATAGTAAAATTTTCAATTTCGACCCCTTTTAACTCTTGAAATTTTTTTAGCTCCCTAACTTTAATTCATGGCTTCGCCACTACATGCATATTAAAGTTATACTACATGTTTTAAAAATTTACTGTGTTAGAAGAAATTATGCCTTTAAGGATTTAAACTTCTATTAAGAAGTATTGAAAGTTTGATTAATGTTTTTTAGTACAGAACAAAGATAAGGAAAAGTCAATCATGTTAAATTGAATCAATTTATTAATTCGTAAAAGTTTTAATATAAATTCTGGGACTAAATTGATCTAAAAAGTTAAATCTATCATTTTTAATCATTTTAACCAAATTCAAGAGGCTATTGATCCGGCTATACAAATTCAAGGACCAAATTGACCTTTATTCCAATTATATTTATTACATGTAATACAATAATCTTGTTATTTCATCATTTAGATATAAGTTAATAAAATTTATATAAAAAAGAAACACTCACATTTTAGATATGTATAGAAATAATAGTCTTGCAATTTACAAAAATTCTTATAAATAATCGACATGTATATAAAACCAGTTTCCAAAAATTTTTGTTTTCTTTTTCATTTTTGTGAAAAATATTTTTTGGATCAATATAAAAATGGAGATTTACTCTAAAGAATTTTTTTTAATAATAAACTATTATTGTATTTATATTTTTCTTAAAAAACCAAATTTTAAATGGTTTTAATCAAATTTTGATAAAATCAATAAGTTAAATAAATAAAAATAATAAAATATTCACTTTTTTTGAATTTATTTAGCTTTTATTTTTTATTTTTTATCTTTTATTTTCATTATTATTTGAATCGAAACACGTCCTTTAGCTTTTATAATCGATATGGTTAGGGTTTTGAGGAAGGCCAGGCTTTCCAGTACAAGAACGATGACGACAACAATATAGACCTTGAAATTGCTCTCTCTTACATTGTTAGGGCTGATTTTGATGTTGTTGTTCCAGCAACGCTTCAGCTTTTTCAACGGACATTTGTGAAACTTATCTACAACATGTGCTGTCATGATATGATTTCAAATTGATATCAATTCAATTATTGTTTTATATTTCGGATTTGTCTTTTTTAAATGATTCAGGTAATATTATAATTTTTAATTATTTATATATTGTTAATGATAAAGTTATCTAATAAAACCGATTAAATTTTACATATTAAGGTATAGCTTTACAATTCAATTATTGAATTAATTTCTCTTTATTTAATTAATTATCTCAAAATTAATTATAAGTTTGTTTAATTAAATAATTGATGGATACAAGATTATGTTTTTAACTATCTCTTTTGAAAAGAGTATCAAGTTAAAACATAATATAAATTTGATTAGTGTATTTAATGATATGGTATCTTCATTCTCTCATCCATGATTGAATTTTATGTAAACTAGCCATCAAAAATATCATTTATGATCTTGTAAACCTTTACAATTTTATAAATGGTCCTTCACACAAATTTTATAGTGTATGTTTTCGGAACATTATAGATTTTTTAAAGAAGTTTTTTTTTTTTTTTAAAAAATATATATGATTATGTTTATTTTCAAATCTTAAATAATCAATCATATATATATATATGACTAAAGATGTGGCTAATTTATTGCTATGTTAATATTTTACTAAAAACAATTCCATGAAGTTACAAATGAAAAGTTGTTCAAAATAGAAATGTAATTCAATAATATAGTTATCCAGACAATATATTAGTACCCATTACTAAAAACAATTCCATGAAGTTACAAATGAAAAGTTGTTCAAAATAGAAATGTAATTCAATAATATAGTTATCCAGACAATATATTAGTACCCATGACTAGTTTATATCAATAAGATAAAATAAAAAAAAAAAAAACACAAATATAGTGCGTTTGCCGGAAGTCGAACCCGGGTCTATTGCTTGGAAGGCAATTATCCTAACCGTTGGACTACAAACGCAAGCGACAACAACTTACAACGTTCCCTATATATATGTAAAAAAAGTAAAAGATATCAGTTTGCGCATTTCCGTTAAAATGTTAACCGCTCTCTTTACTGTTTGCTTCTTGCGTAGAAGTTGAGGCATGCTATATTTACAGTGAACCATAATGGTCTCCAAAAGAAGAGGAAACGTTAAACGATATGAATTAATTTTTTGTAAAAGCACTGCAATTCTTTCAAAATGCAGCTTTTGAATTAGATTTGAAAATAAAAGAAATAAAATTGAATTCACTAGAGTTTCCATTTACCCATTCCGATGAGTTTCATTCAACTAAAATACAATATTTTTATTAAAACCAGAATACATTATGTATTTCCGATGAGTTTCATTCAACTAAAATACAATATTTTTATTAAAACCAGAATACATTATGTATCTTAAAAATAATAAAATAGGGAACTCATTGTTGTTTTGTGTATGGATGGATGGGAGCTGGTCTAACAAAGTCTCCTTTCTTTTGCTTTAGTATATATGAAGTTCATTGTTTTAGTTTTGGTCTTCATGGTGATGGAGTCGTCTCCAGGTTTTTTATGTTGTAAGTTCAAACGTCTGTCAAAGCCTGATGAACCACAAATAGAAAAGTACCAATGATTTTGTATCGGAGGATTATGTGTGTACCCAACCAGCACTATTTGAGTTGCATTTGTTGGAATATTTAGATCTCTCTTTGATTGTCATTTGTCAAAGAGTGTGTATTACAATCTTATAGCATAGATCTCCTTCAATCATATATTATTTACATTCAAAATAAAATTTTAAAAACAACCATTAGTCTAAACAAATAAAGTTGCATAGATTAAATTTTAATTTTTTTTTAAGTAAATCGGTAATATAATAATTTAATAGCATAAATTCTATTACTAACCAAAAAATTTCCAAACATGGCATAAAAATTAAATTAATAAAAAATAGTTTTTCAATTACATATTTGTGCTATATCATCTATATTTTTGGGATGAAAAATCTTAATTATAGTAATTTTTTGGATTGATAATATAGCCAAATTATTATTCATTTAATAATAAATAAATAAATAATTTCTTAATTATTTTAATCGCTGATATCTTAAATATCACATTTC